TAGAGAGGTGTAGGCTGCAGAAGAGGCTGGAGAACGGACAGATAGAAAGTAAGAGAGGGAGATGGACTGTATTAGGGCCCTTAAGGATTTGTCCATGCTGCATATCCTTGCTAGGGTTTTCTAGCCGTTGTCAGATATAGCTGGTTGGGAAAACAGATCTCTTTAACCTTTTGTTGTTGTTTTGTGGCATTTAAATGGGAGGTATTGACATTTGCAGATCTTTTTTATATCTCCTCCCCCCCATCAGAATGGACAGTGTCAGGGGCAGGGAAGGGAGTGCAATGCCATGGGGGTGACCATCTCCAGCATCAGGTCTGATGTGCTTTTGGTGGTGCTACACTGATTCCAGCAGCCGGGGAGGCATGATGGGGACATCCATAGCAGAGCCAGTACCGAAGGGCTGTTGGAAACTCAGAGCAGTGAAACCGAGCTGGTCTCTGTGTTTGGGTGTGTGCAGACACAGATGGCTTCATTTCTATGTGGGTACCCAGCGCAGGCAGGTTTGGTACACGCGTTCATGCCTGCAGAGAGGTCCGGCAGCGCTCGAGGATGAGGGCTCCCACGTGGCCAGGTTGGCGTGGGCGGCTGCGGTGCCGATCGGAGTATTGTATTTGTACATGGGCGCCGTCGGTGCAGATGGCTCGGGGCTGTTTGATGAGTGGGTGGCCAGATGGACGCATGCGGATGCTGTCATGTGTTGGTGCCTAACGTGGTGCGTGGATGCGTTTGAAGGCTTGGCCACTTGCTGCAGGGACAGCGGTGGGTGCCTGCAACTCACTCTCTGCCTTGAGCGTGGCACCAGGCTGTTGCTGTGCACGTGGCCGTAAGGAGGCCGTAAGGAGACAGTCACCAGCATGACTCACCTGGGGGCTGAGGGTATCATTGCACCCGCAGGACGGCAGCGAGATGCACCCTGTCTTGCTGCGTGAGCTCTGCATGCACACGAGCACTTGGTCCCATGTTGTTGGAGTATGTTTGCTTGCATGTCCTGCATGCGCACATGGCATTTACAAACAGCAAAACCTGAAAATCACTGCATGCACATTTGCATAGGCTCATGGCTGTTTGCTTGGACCTGTGTATATCTGAATCTTTTCTATGCTGATACAAAGGATAAAGCCTTGAATCTCCCCAGCTGCCTGAAGTCAGTGAGGGTGAAGGGCATTGACTTTGCCTGCTTAAGCCCTCTTAAGCTTCTATGTGTTGGGGCTGCTCATGTGACAGGGGCTCTGTGGCACCTCAGCCCTGTGCTTGTGCCTTGCTTTTGCTGGGGAGCTTCACATTCCTCTTTGCAGTCTCAGGGCAACATCAACCTATGGCAAAGGCTCTGAGCAGCTCAGGGCTGGCCTGATGCATCGCTTCCTCTTTCAAATTGCCACGTGTTGTCCAGGAGAAGTGAATTTGGAGCAGTTTGAAAGAGCTGTTAAAAATCCAAGGATGTACTGGGGCTTCTGAGGGGCTGCAGCCTGCACCGCTTTCCGCATGCCACTGCTGCATGGCTGGCTGGCATGAGGAAGGCTCTGTGGCCACCACGAAATGGATCTCAGCGTGTGAGTGTGAGTGCGGGCAGCCCTGCAGGCAGCTCGTTGCCGGTGTGCAAGCGTGTACGTGCAGGAGGTTCACTGCTGGCTGCTGCATTCTGGCATCCCAGCAGTCAGCCACCAATAGGCAAAAAGATGCTGGCTGTCTGGGGTGGGAGGACACCTCTCTGCATTGCCCACAGGAGTCAAAGGAGGGGTGAAGGGGGGATTGAACCCATTTGTTTTTCCTCCTCAGAAGAGACAGGCGAAGGAGACACCACATGTCGATGTGGGAGCCACGCAGCGGCCACCTGTATGTGGGACGCGGGGGCGCGTGTCATCTGTGGCTCCTGTGCTTTCTGTGCGTCCGTGGGGCTGGGGCGCACACCGCTCCCCTCCGCCCTCCTTGGCGGGGGGTTATGTGTGTGTGTGCCTGTATTCAGTGTGTTCCTTTGCACCCCTGTGTGTGTGTGTGTGCATTCACGGATTTGTGCGTGCATTCGTGGGTTTGTGTGAGCCTAACCTCCTCGTGCGTGTGCCGTGCAGTACGCGTGTGTCGGTGTGTGCTGCTACCTGTGGATGTGCAGTCGTGCGTGCCCCAGGGGTGAGCAGCGTCTGTACACGTGTGTGCTCGTGGGTGTTTCCGTGTGCCTAGGTGTGTTGGGAAGGGCACGTCTGTCTTCTCCAGGGTGTTTGTGTGCATGTTTATGGCACTGCAAAGGTTTCAGGGCATAGCCCAGTCCTCCCTAAAGCACACCTTCAGGAGCTCAGTACAGCTTCCCCCACTGGCAGCTGAAACTGCTGCTCCCCAAGCCTCCATGTAGGCTTCCTACCTGGGATGTGCTGGGTGGGAGGCTGTCCCAGCCAAGTACAGCTGAGCACAGGGAGGGAGGGGGCCTCCTGTGCCCGGTGACATTCTTCATTGCAAATGTCTTGGAGGACCATCTCTCATTGGGAAAGACAGGTCTTGGACCTGGCATCTTTTCCCCTCTTACTCACTGTCCCCATCCCATCAGGACTGCCACCCTTGCCAGCAAGCTGGCTCTTATATAGACTCACCTGCACTGTCATTGTACTGTTAGAGCAATGCCACTCTGAAAAGGAGCCTGGCTCCCAGTGCAAGAAGGGTTCCCCAGCTGCAGTGAGAGGGCATTACCCATATTTAAGAAAGTGTCCCCAGGCAACCACACAAGAGGAAGGTGGTCACCACCTGGCTGGGATAGGGCAAGCCAGGGTGCTGGCTTCTACCGGCAAGCTGGGCATGCTGCCTGAAAGCATCAGGGCAGCTGTGAGGCTGCTGGGGCTTGTCCCCCATCAACCTGATGCCTTCTGAAGGGGCAGAAGTATAGTCTTAGCCCCCTTTCCAGCCTCTGCCAGTACCAGAGGGATGCTGGAGGATGGGGAATGAAGCAGGAGCCCAGCCAGTAGCCCCGGGGATGGCATTTCTTTCTCCCTGGGGTTCCCAAATTAAATCCAGGGTGGGTACTTCACCGGGGGGCAGCCCGGATGCCAACGCCTTGCTGTCCCCTTTTGCAGGCGTGAGCGTCGGCGTCGGCACCACATGTCGGTGTGGGAGCAGCGCACCAGCCAGCTGCGCCGGCACATGCAGATGTCCAGCCAGGAGGGCATCAACAAGGAGGAGCCGCCCCTCATCAACCCCCATGCCAGCATCTTCCGCAGGAAGAAACCAGGGGACGGCGTCACCCTGGAGAAATGCGCCGAGGAGCAGGGCAGCAAGGGTGAGCGGCCGCCGGCCGAGGGACTCGAGCAGCCAGCCCCAGGAGCCAACCCTGGCGGTGGTGAGGACAGGAGGAGCCCATCGCCCCGGGCCAAGAGAGACAAGGAGGCGTGGCACCAGAAATCGTGCCATGGGAACTGTGAGCCGGGCGAGCAGGACGGGGCAGGAGGCGGCATCGAGGATCGGGCCCGGATGAGGCAGAGCCAGCGGCGCAGCCGGCACCGCAGAGCCCGGATGGAGGGGAAGGAGCTGACCAGTGCCCTGGGGAGCCGCTCAGCCAGCCAGGAGATGGGTCTGGAGGAGGCCAGCCCCACGGAGGGGGCGCAGGATGGGGACCAGCATGGGGATGTTGCCGCAGCAGAGGCGTTGATTCAGGGGGAGCCAGAGGCGAGTGAGGAGCCCGTCAGGTTCGTACCTGGGGAGGGCATTGTGCAGTTCCGATTGCTCCTTGTCCTCTCCTCTTATCTTCTCACACCTCTTTTTCTCCCACATCCCTTCTGCAGGACAAATGGGGTCCCTGCTGGTGATGTTGAGCTGGTCGGGACTGCCACGGATGGGAGCCCCTCGCAAGTGGCACCTGAGCCCCCTCAGGGGAAGATGGGCAGCCTGATGGAGCAGGACTGCAGCAGCCTGGACACCAGTGAGCAAGCGCTGCTAGAGGCCAGCCACACCGTCAGCCGGAGCGAGCCCGACCTCTCCTCCATCACCCCCAACACCGAGAAGGCCACAGAGAGCACCACCATCATGATTGATGTCCACGACTCCACTGTGGTACAGAGTGAGGACCTGTCTCTCTTTCCTGAGCCCCTCTCCCAGCCCTCAGGGACCCTGTGGGGATGGCAAGCCACTTGCACGGACTTTCCTATCCACAGCCATCAACTTGGGGGGGCTTTCCTTGTTGCTCCTCGCAGCATCTCCCTCTAGCACCCCAATTTTGGAGGGGAGCTCAAACGCAATGCTGATGTGCCACCATCCCCTAGGGAGCTTCTCCCTTTATCACCTCCTTCCCGTCCACCCCTTCGCCTGATCCCTCCTTCCCCCTTCCTCTCTGCCCGGGCAAAACACTTGCATCCCCTGTTTTTCCTAACACATCCGCAGCCTCTGCCCAGCTTGCTGCTGCTCAAACCCCTTAACAGCATCCTTGCTGCCAAGGTGAGCCACTTTAAATGGTGTTATTAATTAAACAGCTCGGCGAAAGCTGGCCTTGTTAAAACCCCTGTTGTCTGTTTCATCCTGGCAGCTCATGTCTTTTCTTCCCTTCTGGTTCCTCTCCCTGTAATGGGACAGGGATGCAAAGCAGAAACCTGGCAGGGGTTGCACGTGCCTGGGTGGCCGGGACACCCCAAGGTGCTGCCTGGGTGCAAGACCAGGTAAAGGCTCTCGCTTTCCTGCAGTTAGCAACAAGACAGACGGCGAAGCCAGCCCCTTAAAGGAGGCTGAGACAAAAGAGGATGAGGAGGAGATGGAGAAGAAGAAACGGAAGAAGGAGAAAAGTGAGACGGGCAAAGCAATGGTGCCACACAGCTCCATGTTCATCTTCAGCACCACCAACCCGTGAGACATTTTTTGGACTATAGGAGCCCCAGGGCTGGGGAGGGCTGCAAGGGGCAGGACCCCTAGACATCACTGAGAACAGAGGATCCCCTTGGCATGGGGGCTGAACATCTCCCAAACAGCCGGGATAACCAGCCATGGTGTTCCCCAATCCCCATCAGCGTTCTCCCTCTGTGCCAGCCACACTTAAGATTTTCTCTCCTGACTGCTGCTTGTTAGCTGTGATTTTTATTCAATGCCTGTTACATTTTTCTGCAGTTTTCTGCTCCCCTGTAGCTCTTGCCCAGCTCCAGCAGCCTGGAAGAATAAGCATCCCAATTTCTCAGAGACTCTCCCTGGCTGGCTGTGGGGTGTCTGGGGGTCTGGGACAGCCAAGCAAAGGAGTCAGCAAGCCCAAACCACCCTTGGGCTCCCTTTTTTTGCTCTTCAGACTTTGCTGCCTATCCTTCTGCTCTGGAAGCCGGTGATGTGGGGGGGATTTTGCATGTGGGCCATGCCTGGGACATGCCAGGGGCTCACAGGCTGGGGTGCGGGCTGTCTCCCTGCAGGGTGCGGAGGGCTTGCCACTACATCGTGAACCTGCGCTACTTTGAGATGTGCATCCTTCTGGTGATAGCCGCCAGCAGCATCGCCCTCGCGGCAGAGGATCCCGTCCTCACCAACTCCGACCGCAACAAAGTGATTGCAAACCTCCCCTGCTCCCCCCACCCCGCAGGCAGAATGCCTGGAGGATTTTAGCTTCCGTGGTGGGGCACATGTGGGACATAGATCAGGGCAGCTGGTGGCAGCACTTGCACCATGCTGTGGGGTCTAACTTCTTCCCCATTGCCTCCCGCTATAAACCCTGGAAATCCCTCTCAGCCTTCCACGCGTGGGATTTAGAGCCTGGGGAGCAGAGCAGGGTGCTTTGTTGACAGTAAAGTAGCTTAAACTGGGGAGATGCTGACATGCACAGAGACTGGTATGGGGGAGCATGATTCCAAGTAGCAGCATGATTTCAGAGCTGCTTGCACTGTGCATGGGAAATGCTTCTCTCCTGCCTACACAGGCTGGGTTTATGGCTGTCCTGAACTCTTAGGGAATAGGCTGGGTTTGGGCGGAAGCAAACTGACCCTCTGTCTGCACCTGAGCCAGGCGAACCCCATTGTGGGGTGGTAACGGGGTCGCCAGTGAGCCCATTTCCTTGGCAGTGGCTGCAGAGCATCCGTGCCCTCTCTCTGCAGGTCCTGAGGTATTTTGACTATGTCTTCACTGGTGTCTTCACCTTCGAGATGGTTATCAAGGTAAGAGGCCTTGCGGACTGGCTGCGCTGGGGACTGTGTCCCACACCATCCTTGCAGCGGGTGGGAAGTAGCTCAGTTTTTCAGTTCTGGTCCTAAATTTGGATGATGGAGACTTTAAAACCGGGTTCTTAGTGGTGTGAGTTGAGAATGCTCAGCACCGCTTTTATCAGTCTTCAGGCTCCCAAAATATGATACTCCTTGATATACACCTGGGGTGCAGGGACAGGTCCTCTGCTCCCCAGCAGTGTTTCTGTCCCCAGCACAGTCCCCCTGTGGCTGCTTCCATTTGATGGCTGAGCTGCTCATTCCCCGCCTGTTTTTCTCACCGTTTCCTCCCTGGCAGATGATCGATCAGGGCTTGATCCTGCAGGATGGCTCCTATTTTCGAGACCTCTGGAACATCCTGGATTTCATTGTCGTGGTGGGAGCGCTGGTGGCTTTTGCCTTGGCGTAAGTGGCCGTCATCCTTGTCAGCTCTTTGCTTTCCCTTGGCTGGGGTGAGAGGAGGATGTGACTGTATGTTATGGATACTAGACTCTGACTTTTTTTTGGATTTCTCTTCACCCTTCTGCTCTGCTTCTGGGATGGCTCCTGGCAGTGGTGTGTGGCTGCTCCAGAGATATTTCTCCTTGTTTGTGAAATGCTGGTGAGCAAGCAGGCAGGGGGCAAGGCAAGGCAAGCTGGAGATGCTAGGAAGATGTTGGTGGTGAAAGTGGACTTGAAAGAGGGCAGAAGGGGCTGTTAGGGAAGAAGACCTAAAGGTGTCAGAGCTGGAGTTATATACCTGCTACCCATTCCGGGCTTCACAGAGACAGCAAGAGCAGCAGCCTGCCAGGTGGAGCTGACCTCTTGAACATGTTTGTGCTGGAAATGGTATCACCAGCAAGTGGCTTTTCCTCTGCTCCAAGGGGAGCATTGCCTCGGAGCCCTGCAGGGATGGGAATGTGGCTGGTGGGGTTTGTGCCTGGATCCTCTGCAACATCACGTCAAGGGCAGGGTGCTGCGTGCTGCGTGCTTGCTCTGCAGCATGTTTCTGCTGAGCATCACCTTGCAGTTGGTCTCCAGCACTGTGCTTGTGGCACCTGTGGGTCTTCCTTTGCAGGGTGGCTTGAGGTCTGTGGTGCCCGTGCCATGGAGGGCAGGAGCATACAGGGATGAGTTTCATGCCGCTCTGCCCTTCTTTGTGGTGCTGGTTGGGGCAGATAGTGCAGTGTGAGTGCAGGGAGGGATGTGCTGGTACCCGGAGAGTGAGTGCCAACATGGTGTTCGCAGGCAAGGGTCATCCACTGGTCCCCAGGGCTGTGGTGCTCCATCAGCGCCTGAGGAGTGAGAGGAGATGAGAGGAGAGGCTCATGCTCCTTTGTCATGCTGTTGTTCTCTCTTTGTGCCTTTGACACTGGCGGCGGTGGCGTTAGTGCTGGTCAGAGGGGAGGGCCTCGTAGCCACGCAGACTGGAGCCCTGTCCTTGTCCACAGCTCAGGTACCGTGTGAGGCTCTCAGGGTGGCTGGATCCAAGCCCTGAGGTCGCTCGATGGATTACAGCCCGTAATCCATCCCTTCCATCTCACATCGGGCCGGGCAGCAGCTCCTTCCCCTTGCTCTGACCCACTTGCACCCTCCCTGGCTCCTTGCTTTTGCCTTCCTCACTCTCCTCACCCCTGTCCTCACCCAGTGCTTTCAGCCACTGCTCTCTCCTTGGGAAGAGCACGGGAGAATTCAGCTTGCTCGGCACAGGGATGAACCAGCCCCTGGGCAGGGCAGTGGGCTGACCGCAGACCCCAGCATGGGCAAGGGGCATGGTGCAGGCCTGCTGGCTGGGACCATTGCTCTGAGCCCCCAGGAGGTCACCCAGGCCACCATGAGGATGGATCAAGCGTCTCTGGGGTCTGGCTGATCCCCCTTCTGCCAGAGCAGACCCTCA